AAAAAAAAAAAAAAAAAAAAGTCGATTTTAACCAAAACGATTTATGCACATCAGATAATACATGAAATGTTCCTCCAAGGCTTCGCCCACACAGCATGTGTGTGTGAGTTAGGGCAGCTATTCTGCCTCTTCTGTGATTTTACATGAAATTAAAAGGGATCGTACCTAGAAGGCAGCTGATTATGCCGTCAACTGTGTTAATGCATTTTGCTCAGGTTCCGTATACCTAGCCAGCCTCCCTGCTTTCAAAAGGCCATTCACCCTCACACTGTGGACGCCAAGCTTTCTGAATCATTCACAAATGTTCAAATCAAGGGAGATGTTTTTTAAGATGACTTTATCCAGTGACCAAAGATGTTTTTCCTGTTGAATGCTGAGCTGATGACACAGATTAGGGTATTTAAAAGAACAGTACAGATGTAAATGGGCAATCACACGGGCTTCATAATGGAGCAAGATTTCACTTTTGCATGGTTCCGGATATCCTTAGGCATGGGGGCTGTCGCTGTGGCTGTTATTTTAATTCCTGAGGCAGCTTGTTCATCTGATGTAGAGTGCAATTTGATGTCAGTGGGAAGAGAACCCCAAAATCCACGGGTGCTGAAAAATGGAGTGGGAGCGTCTTTGCATGATGCACTGGGGATGGATGGCTAAGGGGGAGATAAAGGCACTGAATCTGTAATGATCTAGAAGTTTGAGAGATGGTGTCACACAGTCCTTGCCTCTGTCTTACTCAGATCTTCACCTATGCCCTGTTCCTTCTCCTCTCTCCACATTCACATCCTCTCAGAAATGGGTCCTTTCATCTCCATCTGCACCTCAAGAAGATGGCTGAAATGCAAAACTCGCTGTGAGTGAAGGAAGGAAAACAGTTAAGCCATTTTCTGGGCACACCAGCATTGGCGATTGGGGCTCTGATGGGGAGCTCTTGGACAGCTTGATTATCTAATGTGTTTTAGGGTGGTTCATAAATACTCTTTGATCATGGGAGGAAGGATGGCAGGGAAGCGAAAATGATTAACAGCTTATCATACATACTAATCTGTATGGGGAAAGCCTCAGGAAAAAAAGGAAGAAAAACACTTTCAATTAGGTCGCAGGAGTCTTAGAAAATTCACTGGAACTTTTGGCAGGAAAAATTTCATTTCTGGACTTCAGTCCCTTGGCACTGAGGTTAAGGACTTACAAGTGAAGTCGTGGGTCTCTTTAATCCTTTCTTGTTTGGGCCTGAGCTGGGGGCTGGGTGGGGTGGGGGTCGGGGGTTCATCGGAATCATTGGAAAGAGTGGCGGTTCTACTGCTTCGTAGGAGAGAGCTGCCCTTTCCGCCAGCCAAAGATGCTGCTCAGGCGTTTGTAGATTTTAGTGAGCATAGTAGAAAGGAGAAAAGGCAGCCACCAGCTTTGGCAGTGAAGGTACCATTTCTTTCTACCAGTGACCGCATTGCTGAGAACTGAAACTTGCAAAGGGTAAAATAAGGTTTTTGGTTTATTTCCAGGATTGCTTAGTCCCTAAAGTTACTGACCAAGTAGTATTTCTAAAACATGTAAAAGAGCTGGAAAATGGAACTCACTGTCCAGGCCTCACAGCATCTACAGATAAATCCTGTCCTTGAAGTAGAACAGCACAGGATTTAGTTTAATGTGGATTAGGAGGGCACCTGTAGGATTCTTTCTAACAGCACTAAACTACTAAAGGGTTATGTCCCACATTGGAGTTGTAAAGGCCTACGGTCCTGGCCGTCTAGTTAAATTAGGCCCAGAGTTATGGATTGAATGACGCTTTGCTAGGCTGTGGTAGCCGGGGTTTTTCCTATCGTGTCCTAGCTGTGCAGTGAGTCATGGTCTCATAGGCCAGTTCCATGCACACCTTATTCAAAGCTAGTTCTACTCTTCAGTTTGCCTGAGTCTCCATTTGATCCAGGCCCCCGGGGGTGGCCCCGTTATTTTTCTTTCTTTGATTCCTAAAACTGGCCTCTCCCCTGAACCCCATTCCTGCGGATGCTCCCTATTGCTTCTCTTGCCGGTTTCCATTTGTCTTCCTTGCCATGGGAAGCCAATGCTGACCGTTTTGCTGAGCTTTTCCATCTCTAGGGAGAAGAGCATCTGGGAAGTGCACTCGCTGACGGTGTGAACTGGAGGTCTAAGGAGGCCCTTAACCTGCAGGAAACAAATAGCAGATGAGGAGCAGCTGAGCATTGTAGGAAAAGGAATTTACGTCGCATTCATGGGCCTAGTAAATAGGTCTGTCTTTGGCCCTATCATTTCCTCTCTTGGTCTCTGAGGCAGAATGGAACAGTGCTTAAGGACTGCTCATTTAATGAAAACTAAAGCCCAGTGAGTGCGACGGATGGCATGGGGTGGCCTGGGGGTGGAGATGTGGGGCCTGGCTTCCGCTGGATTTGTCTCTGCCTGAGGCTCCTGTGACAGATTAGCACAAACTGGTGGCTTCAGCAACAGAAACGTATCACCCCCTAGTCTGGAGCCAGGAATGGAGTTGCGGACAGCACCCAGCCCCCTTGAAAGCTCAGGAGGATCCCTCCCTGCCTCTTCCAGCTGCTGGGGATTCCATGTGTCCTCCTTCTCTCTACCTGCATGGTCCTCATCTGCCTCCTCTTCCTCTGCACGCTGTCTTCTTCTAAGGACAGTCGTCACTGGATTCGGACCCACCCTATTCCTCTATGACCTCATTTTAACTAATTATGCCTGCAAAGACCCTATTTACAGAGAGTCGGGTTCTGAGGTCCCAGGTAGAAGACTTTTCTAGGAACATTGTTAACCCATCCCGCGGCCTTCCTGGGGACCTGTGAGTTGCTCCTTCGCGTATAAGCCTCCATTTTCACGTTCACTTTCCTTCTCCCTAGCTAAGTTACTGTGGGGTTGGGTAGATATTTCCAAATTGCTTTGGATTCATTATAAAAAAGGTGTCAGGTAAATGACTACATTAACAGACTCAGTTCCTAGCTGGGGGCATAATGTGTGTTAGAAATGGAACCCTCAGGGTGGGTGAAGGCTTTGGTATTTTAAGAAGCTGTTCACACATTCAGGGCTGACATCCACTGAGCTTGTTCACAAGGTCCTTTAGTTCCGAGGACCCTGCAGTTCCTCTGTGTCACTCCCTCAAGGTTCCTCTCCTAAAAGACTCGGCAGTTAGAACGAAGTGCACTTTTTCTGTGATCTAGAAGCAAAGTAAAATGAACCGTATTGCCATAAACAAACGGTGAGAACTGGGCTTGTGGTCCACCTCCTGCTTTCAGCAAACACTGGTGCCCTCTACCGCTGAGAAGGCGGCTCTGCCCCGGGGCGGGCTAAGGAGTCCTTGAGGATCTTGAATTGAAACCTAATTATAAGTGAATGTGCGGCTCAAGAGACGACTGTTTCCACTCGTGTGCTTCATTGTAGCCTTGCAGGGCGGAGCGTGCAGGTTCCGCAGGGGGCATGTTCTCCAGACGGCCAGGCATCTCACACCTTTCCAGCCAACTGGAGGCTGCTTTGCTCAGACCCAAGCATGCCATTCTCATCCATCAAGGCCGGTTCCACTTGAGTCTCCTTGGAAGGGCCCCTGGGCAGCTTGAAGATTCAACACAGAAAATGCTGCTTCTCCTGCTTAGTGCGCATTTACCAAAGTGCAGATACAGGGTGCAAAAGTCCCTGCTTTCTCCCAGCCTTTGGGGACCCTCACTTAGTCTCTGTGCCTCCGCGTGTCTCCAGCCTCCGGGTGACTGTGGCCTTGCACAAGCCCTAGGAGGGGATAAAGTGGAATATAACAAAATGCAAGTCTTTAGGGAAGAAAAGATTTTCTAAATCCCAGGGGTAGGGACTGTACTGGTTTGCTGAGGCTGCCACAAGGAGTCAGAGTAAGCGGCTTACACCACAGAGACTTATCTCTTCCATGGTCCAGAGGCCGGAAGTTCAAGATGAAGGTGAGCAGGGTTGGTTCCCTCCGAGGGCCGTGAGCAGAGCATCTGACCCGAGCCTGCTCCACGGCTGGTGGACGCCATCTTCTTGTGTCTGTGCACATCGCGGTCCCTCTCTGTGCGTCTCTCCAGATCCCCCGTCTGTGGAAGGCACCAGGCTCGCTGAACTAGGGCCTCCCCTATGACTTCATCTTAACCCGAGTACCTCCCGTCTCCAAACCAGGTCACATTCTGAAGTACTGACAGTGAAAGCCTCCACACAGGAGTTTTAGGACAGTTAGCCCCTAACAGCCACTGTGTGCTTTCGTAAAGGGAAAAGCTGCCAAGGAAAGAGTCTTGGTGGGGGTTTTGCTTCTGGTTCCTGTGCTTGGACGCGTGGGGCCTTGTTCTCACAACGCCAGCCCCATGTGGGTCCCCGCATTTTCCAAGCCTGGCAGAAGCAGGGGTCAGAGTGGATTCTGCTACAGCTCCAGAGCTGCGTGACGTTAGATGGTCAGAAAGCCACGGGGATTTACAGTCAGCAGGGATCCCTGGAGCGCCACCAAGTCCCGTTAGAATCATCAGCCTGCGTAAATCATCGGTGCCCTCAGGCCTCTCTCGGGTCTTTGGCAAACAAATTAATCAGGCAGGGAACTGTGTTAAAATATGGCCGCTGTGCTAGCAGTTTTGAAATAAGACACTGTAATCTTAAATCCATCCTGTGGACACGGGAGGCAAGTGCCAGCTCCTCCCTCAGGCTGCCGGTTAGCTGCCAGTCAGCCCCCCACTGGCGGTAAGGTCCCAGCAGGTTGGCAGGGCCTGGCACTCATCCGCTGCCAACTGCCCACAGTTCTCCAGACCAGGCACATGATGGCCATCCTCGCCTGAACTTTGCAGACCCTCAAGGACAGTGGAAGGTCTGCCTTTCCCCTGCGGCTTCCTGGCTGAGGTCCTCAGGCCCTGGTCCATGAGTAGATGCACCTCTGTTTCCAAGTCTCTAAGTAGAGAGACAGGAAATGTAGACCTCAGCTCCGTCAAGATCCTTCCAGTGTGGTGATGTAATTTTACTGTGTTCTTTCAGCCCTGGCCTGATCTGTTCAGCACTAGGGTGTGTATTCATTTGCCTCCCGAATACAGTGGTGAGTTTTGGAATCTTGCTACTGGGATCCCACACTAAGACAAATTCTCCACTTTCTGATCAGGTGGTTATGTCTTGTGCATAATAGGGGTAGATATGAATATAATAAAATGATTCTTATTTTAAAAATTAAAAAGACTTTAGATCTCCTAGAGCACAATGGTGTTGACTTCGTTTTGAAATTCAGTCTCTGAGAAAGCAGTTGGAGAACCAGAGCCAAGCAGGCGCATTGGGCTGAGCCTCTGTGAAGCCTTCGCCTGGATCTGTGGCGATGCTGTGAGTTTGGACTGAGGTGGGCACAGGAAAGCACCATGAGCTCGTGTTTTTGTGTTAGAACAGCGACCAGAACAATATGAACAGCAGGAAACAAAGGACACAGAGGAGGATGGGAAAAACAGAATTCACAAATTGCTGGTGATATAGGAAAACAAAATAAGGGACGTAAAGTCCTCGATACCCAGAAGAAAATCTGATGCTTTCCTCAGAGATATTGTGACAAAGAATTTCAACCTAAAACCAGAATGAGGATGCCTCAGACCAGACATGGAAAGCTCTCGCTTCCATGGGCCCCAGGACCAAAATCAGTGTAGTTAGAGCTTTAAAAAAAAAAAAAAAAAAGAACATTAGGTACTAGAGGCATGGCTCCGTGCTAGATATAACTTGCCTAGCGTGTGTGTGACCCTCTCAGCTCAACTCCTAGAACCACAAAAGAAAAAAGATATTACCCCAAGGTTAAGAACTGGAGGATTATGGGTACTCCATGGTACTATTTAGTGCTATGTACCTTGGCCACTCTGATTTGTATGAAGTCCTGCCTTTCATCTCTCCCCGAAGATCCTCTCACACCACTTTCCAGATCTTAATCTATTGGCTTAACATATTTTCAAAACAGTAGGTTGAAGACCTGTAATCTCAGCTGTTCAGGAGGCTGAGGCAGAAGGATTGCGTGTTCCAGCCCAGCCTAGGCACCTTAGTGAGACCCTGCCTCAAAGTAAAAGTTTAACAAAGGGCTGGTAGAGCACTTATCTTTCATTTGCAAAGCCCTGAGTTCCATTTTGAGTACAACCCCCCCCCAAAAAAAAAGGTTGAGAGACAGTGTCAGGGTAATAGACACAGGTGGGCAAGCCAAGGAATCAAGGATGACACCTTAGCAGTGACACCACTCACCTTCTGATGCCCCCACATGTTATACATATAAACCTTTCTTTTTGTGCTGTTTTGGTTTTGGGGTACCAGGGATTGAACTTGGGACCTTGAGCTTGCAAGGCAGGTGGTGGAACCACTGGGCTAAATCCCCAGCCCTCACACGTAAACCTTTCTAACCTAGACTCCTAAGAGGGAGCGCTCTAACTATAAAATAAAACAGCTAAGTCAGAAAAATTGCAACCCACATAGGGCTCAAATTACATGACAAAATATTGACCACTAAGTAGAATTCCCTTTATTTGATATAGTTCCTTTCCTAAAACTTTTCAGATTTATTTCTTTGTAAATCAAGTTTTTCAGTCTCTAGTTGAGGGCATTGGGCTTCACAGTACCTGCAGTCCCAGCTCCATCCCTTTTCTGCATGGTTCGGGAAGCACTGGCCTATGCCGGGCTTCGTTCCGTGTGTGTGTGTGTGTGTGTGTGTTGTTTAGTTCCCTGTCTTGGTGGTCGTGATGGTCGTGGTGGTTCGTGGTGCTAGTGCTGGTGGTGATTTTACCCTCACACCTGCTCTATTACTGAGCTCCCTCTGCAGCCCAGCTCTGATACACGTGTTTGTGAATGTCCTGTGTCTGTGCATTCTGTTTTCCCCATAGGGAAGTTTATTCAGGCTGGTTGTGGTGGTGTGCACCAGCAGAGGCAGGAGGATCTCTGGAGCCTAGGAGTTCAGGAGTAGCCTGGGCATATAGGAAGACCCTGTTTTGGTCACTTTCTTTGTCACTGAGGCACAACACCTGACACCCACAGCCAGGAGAGAAACTTCAGGTCAGAGATTTAGTTCAGTGGCACAACACCTTCCTGGCAAGCTCAAGGTCCTGAGTTCGATCCCCAGTACCAAAAAGGACAGCAGGGAGAGGAGGGCGCTGCCAGGGAAAAGTTACACCTTGCAGCTCATTCCAGTGACCTCCCTCTTCTCACCAGACCCCACCAATGACAGCACATTTAGCTATGAACCAATCCACTGAACAATTCACTTATGAGTATCCCGTCCCCATGATGTAGCCGCCTTCCAGCCGCACCTCTGAACACATAAGGCTTTGGGGAACACTCTAGACCTAAACCATAGCAGACCCGGTCTCTTAAAGAAAAGTTTATCCCAGCCAGGCATGGTGGCGCATGCCTGTAACCCCAGCACTTGGGAGGCTGAGGCAGGAGGATCGCTGCAAGTTCGAGACCAGCCTGGGCTACATAGTGAGTTCCAGATCAGTCTCAACTACATAGTGAGACCCTGTCTCAAAAAAACAAAAAAAAAAAGGAAAAGAAAAGTTTATTCCTCATAAGGACCCTATAAAATAGAGTTTGTTGCTCCCATTTTACAGATGAAACAAATGAGGCTAAAGGAAAGGTAACTTGCATACTGTCACATGGCCACAACAGTTAGAAAGTTAAACCAGTTACCAGTCCAATTATTTAAATACAAGATGACAAAAAATTGCATTTTTCATCAATTTCTATAAGATGATATAACAGGAAATATGAAAATGACAGTTTTATCAAATTCCATAATTTTTCTGTGTACGGTATATCTTGAATCACTCAATATACAGTTCAGCGTTACAATCTGGATATAGTATCTAGTCTCCTTCCAGATTCTTTTTGTATTATCCCATTTCTTTGAACAATACACTTTACGCTGTCATGTTGGGCTTTCCTTTTTGCTGTGAGTGGTAGAATTTTAATAAAATCTCTGCACACTGAGGGTACTGGTGGAGACCTCAATGATGGGCATCCTGGTGGGCGTTTCGCTATCCCGTACTTTTCAGTTATTTGGTCTCTTGGACCTAATCTCAATCGTAAATGACTTTCTGAACCCCCTTGTTTTGAATACACAATAAATGAGTCCCATACTGTTTAGTCCAGAAGGTGCGTAAGTGTTTTTCAGTAACATTTTCCCTCACTGTGTGGTTACAGGATAGCTTGCTGGGTGTAGGTCAATTCTGCCCTCACCACCCATAGAAGGATTAGAATCACCGACCACTGTTAGAATTTTTTTTTTTTTAGTTTCATTTCTTCTTTCCAGTTTTATCACTTCTGTATTATAAATAGTTGATAATAAGGAGATGTCTCTTTTGTCTTTCCATTCTATGACAGACTTTTCCTCTCTGATATGCGAACGTTTCTCCCATTTTCAGTTTTTTCTTTTGTGTACCTTCGGCAGTCTTCCTTGCTGTTCAGTCTCGGTGTCCCAAACATGTCCATTTTGTATAGTAAAAGAATATCTCTGAGTTCTGGAGAAGTGTAAAGTATATCTACTGTACTTATAGTGAGAGTTTTTATAAACTGTAGCACAAAATTATAGGTTATTTTTCCACAAATAAACATAAATGAGTAAAGGAAAATAACCAGAAATTATTATTAGATTTCACCAGAAACAAACATCAAAGGCAAATACAACATGCTAAATTAAAAAGTGTGCAAAAGGGCCGGGGATTTAGCTCAGTGGTTCCGCCACCTGCCTTGCAAGCGCAAGGTCCTGAGTTCGATCCCCAATACCAAAAAACAGTGTGCAAAAAATAGTCAACATAAAGCAAATAGATGTACAAGTGTACCTCATGCAAACAAAAATCGGCTGGTTGAAATGACACCTGCCCGAGTGACACTTCGAGTTTATCCATTGTATCTGGATGTGAAAGGAAAGTGGTAACCACCTGCCCACACGTTCAGGGTACTCTGTCACAGGTTGATCCGGCTGGCTCTGATTTTAAATGTTTACCATTTTAGGTTGATTTTTTTTTTCGGGTACTGGGGATTGAACTCCGGTCCTTGCACTTGCAAGGCAGGCGCTAGAACCACTGAGCTAAATCCCTGGCCCTGGGCTGAACATTTGCTGGACATGATTTTACTGCCGAGCCCCAGGGGTGTTGCTTGGACGTGAGCATAGCAGTCATGAACTCGACTGTTTGGGTCTTCCTGTTTGGCTTCAGGTCTGCCGTACCACAGCACATGCCCTGAGCCCTGTGCGTGGGTGGGCAGGGCAGGAGTGTGTCACCACTGCTTTCTTCCGTCTCTTTGTCACAAGGCTGTGATGCAGTCGCGACCGAACCCTGTTCAGACTTGGTGTAATTAGCGTGTGACCTGCGGATCCACCAGGGAAGCTCGTGCTCCGCTAGTCATTGCAAAAGCACCCCAAGCCCAGTGTACCCCCTCTCTACCTGCACACGTTCCAAGCACTGATTGGTGGGAGAGATTATGAACTTGTGTTGCTACTCATGAGGGCGAGTTATAAATGGATACCAACTCTTCTGTCTCACGTTAGCTTTCACTCTCTTTCTCCCCCGCAGTAAAATGGTAACCACCTAAGCACATGGGTGAGTCCTGAGCACAGAGTGGGAGAGAAGTGTCTGTACTCCAGTATTCTCCGGAGGGACATGGCTGAGCCCTGGCTATGCACAGTCAAAATCAACTGGACTTCGAAGTCTGAGAAATGTCAGGGAAGCCGTGGTCCGTGGTCC